TTTGCTTCTCCCATGAATTTCCTATTTAAGCCATGCCTTTGCACTTCATTTTGCCAGATTGTTGTGCTCTTCTCCAGCTAATATCTCGCTCTTGTCACTCCTGTTGCTGTTCGTACCACTCGTTACCAAACTTTTGGCTTGTTCCTTGACTATGCTTCTGCTTGAACCCATCCTGCAGCCACTTGCTACCAACCTTTTGGCTTGTTCCTTTACTATGCTTCTGCTTGAACCCATCCTGCAGCCACTTGCTACCAACCTTTTGGCTTGTTTTTTTGACTATGTTTCTGCTTGAACCCATCCTGCAGCCACTTGCTACCAACCTTTTGGTTTGTTCCTTGACTATGCTTCTGCTTGAGCCCATCCTGCAGCCACTTGCTACCAACCTTTTGGCTTGTTCCTTGACTATGCTTCTGCTTGAGCCCATCCTGCAGCCACTTGCTACCAACCTTTTGGCTTGTTCCTTGACCATGCTTCTGCTTGAACCCATCCTACAGCCACTTGCTACCAACTTTTTGGCTTGTTTACTGACCACACTTCTGCTTGAACCCATCCTGCAGCCACTTGCTACCAACCTTTTGGCTTGTTTACTGACCACACTTCTGCTTGATCCCAACCTGCTATATCTGCTTCTGCACCCCTGGTAGGGTGATCCTGAGGACTGCAACCTGGTACTAAGATGCAGCAAAGCCCATCTCCACCATCAGGAGCTCCACCAGTTAGCGCTTAGACCTTGCACCTCGGGTGAGCCTACGTCATCCCCCAGGGTAACCTGCTTTTGTACTTATCCAGCTGATCAGTGGGAGCCTCTCAACGGCTATACCTACTGTTCTCTGAGCCTGACACCAGACCCTGACACCCAATGTTCACACAACCAAAGCTTGTTTATTAGGAAACATCAGTTGGCCCTCATATTTCTGGAGTCCAGATGGGATACCATCTTCCTGGAGCTTGTACTTAGCTCCCAGCGTTTAGATGGGTTCCTTTGGGTTCTCTGGTTTTCTCTAAAATTCAAAAACAAACTAGGAGGTTAGGCTAGCCACACATACAGTGGGAAAAAATTATTTGTTCCTTACAGATTGTGTAAGTTTGCCCACTTACACAGAAATGAAGGGTCTATAATTTGTATCATAGGTGTATTTTAAATGATAGAGACAGAATATCAACCAAAAATCCAGAAAAATCACACAATACAAATGTTATAAATGGAGTTGCAGTTCAGTGAGTAAAATAAGTATTTGATCCCCTACCAACCAACAATGATTCTGGCTCCTCCAGACTGGCCATGTGCTCGTGTGGTACACAGATTAGTCCTGTCAATGTAAGAAGGCGCTCCTAATGGCAACTCATTATGTGTATAAAAGACACCTGTCCACAGAATCTCTTTCTTCCATTCAATCCTCACCATCATGGTCAAAGCCAAAGAGCTGTTGAAGCACATCAGGGACAAATTGTAGACCTGCACAAGGCTGGAATGGGCTACAAGACCATCAGCAAGGAGCTTGGTGAGAAGGAGACAACTGTTGGAGCGATTATTCACAAATTGAAGAAATACAAAATAACTGTCTATCACTCTCGGTCTGGAGCTCCATGCAAGATCTTGCCTCATGGGATAAGGACGATCATGAGAAAAGTGAGGGATCAGCCCAGAACTACACGGGAGGAGCTTGTGAATGGTCTCAAGGCAATTGGGATCACAGTCACCAAACAAACCATTGGTAACACAAAACGCCACCATGGATTGAAATCCTGCAGTGCCCGCAAGGTCCCCCACCTCAAGAAGGCACATGTACAGGCCCGTCTGAAGTTTGCCGATGAACATCTAAATGATTCAAGGAAGGATTGGGAGAAAGTGTTGTGGTCAGATGAGACCAAAATTGAGCTCTTTGGCATTAATTCAACTCGCCGTGTTTAGAGGAAGAAAAATGCTGACTATGACCCTAAGAACACCATCCCTACAGTCCAGCGTGGAGGTGGAAACATTATGCTTTGAAGCTGTTTCTCTGCTACAGGTACAGGCCGACTTTGCCGCATTGAAGGGCCAATGGATGTGACCATGTATTGTAAAATTTTGGATGAGAACCTTCTTCCTCCAGCCAGAACACTGAAGATGGGTCATGGATTGATCTTCCTGCATGACAATGACCCAAAACATACCGCCAAGACAACAAAGGAGTGGTTTAGGAAGAATCACATTAAGGTCATGGAGTGGCCTAGCCAGTGTCCAGACCTTAATCCTATAGAAAATTTATGGAGGGATCTGAAACTTTGAGTTTCCAGCGACAGCCAAGAAATCTTAAGGATTTAGAGATTTGTAAAGAAGAGTGGACCAAAATCCCTGCTGAGATGTCTGCAAACCTGGGAACCAACTACAAGACACGTCTTACCTCTGTGCTCGCCAACAAGGGTTCCTCCACCAAGTACTAAGCCATGTTTTGCTTGGGGATCAAATACTTATTTTACTCACTGAACTGCAACATATTCTGTCTCTTTCAATTAAAATAGACCTATGATAAAAATTATAGACCCTTCATTTCTTTGTAAGTGGGAAAACCTACACAATCTGCAGGGGATCAATAATTATTTTCCCCGCTGCAGAACTTGAATGGCACTGAGAGGGCTGTTGTTAGAAATCATGGGGCCGAGAACAGCCTACATGACCTGCTCTCCATCCTGAAGCTATCCCACCGTACTCTGCAGCAGCCGGCAGCAAGAAAAGGAGATGAAGCCGGTAGTGCTGCTGGAAGGGCACATAGGGCATCAGGGGGTGGAAGGTAATCTACAGGATTGGTGTGGAGGGGGCATTTACTAGAACAGATCGGCTGTAGGCAACTGAAAGCTGGTGGGAGGTAGAGGAGATGAAGCCGATAGCGCTGCTGGAGGGGCACATAGGGCAGCAGGGGGGAAGGAGGTTATCTAAAGGATTGGTGTGGAGGGGGGCATTTACTAGAAGAGGTCCCCTGAAGTTTCCCCCTGCAGCCATTGAAAACTGGCAGGAGGAAGAGGAGATGAAGCTGGTAGCGCTGCTGGAGGGGAACATAGGGCAGGAGGGGATGGAAGGTAATCTACAGGATTGGTGTGGAGGGGGCATTTACTAGAAGAGATTCCCTGTCGTTCCCTCCTGTAGCACCTGGAAGCTGGTGGAAGGTAGAGGAGATGAAGCCGGTAGCGCTGCTGGAGGGGCACATAGGGCAGCAGGGGGTGGAAGGTAATCTACAGGATTGGTGTGGAGGGGGCATTTACTAGAACAGGTCCCCTGTAGACAACTGAAAGCTGGTGGCAGGGAGAAGAGATGAAGCCGGCAGCACTGCCAGGAAGGGTGGGGATGCATAGAGGGGGGGCCCAAGCAGCAGCTCGAAGGGGGAATCTGATCATGGACAAGAGGAGGTGATCAGTGCAGAGGCGGGAAATTACAGGAACCAACGCCCTGTATGCCTCTCCCTGAAACAGCTGAAAGACAGTGGGAGGGAGAGGAGGTGAAGCCAGTTTTCTACTGCTGCAGGGAGAGCCATACAGGGGATAGGTTCCTGTAATCTACCCCCCTGCAGCACCAGTCACCACCCTCCTTTCCTCAGATTCCTCCTACTGCCCGGGCCCCCCCTGCTGAACTTATGGGGCCTGGGTCCTGTACAGGAGGACCAGTGGTACCCCCTTATCAGCAGCCGTGGGTGCTGAGCATCACTGGTAAGGGGGGGTTCTCCAGGGGATGGAGAGATATCTGTCCAACCAGGCTAGGTCTTTAATGAGATAAGCCTAGTGCTTTGTACAATCTGGTCCAAATCTTATGACTCAATTGGATTTTATGCGATATTATTAAATGTCTGGATTTTTGTAAAATTTGAAAAATAAAATTAGCAGATTGTATAATCTGGTTGTAACCTGTGACTTCCAGGCAGATCTTGGGTCGGGGGGGTGATGCTTCAGCCAGGTTGTAATGAGGACTCGCTGAAAACCTCACCAACTTCAAAAATAAGTTCAACCCTATTGTGGCTCCAAGAAATGGTCTTCCGGCTCCACATCCGTACTGATGGTCATTGCCACTAGGGGCCACATTGTAGGTCTGTATGGTATGAACATCTTCCCGTATGACGTTCCTCATCCTCTCCTCACATTAATCTCCACACAAATCCTGCGGCTGCCCAGCCCGGCAAAGGCTTTCATCTATAATCTTACTTAACTTCCAATCACTTTCCTTTTTAAATGCGCCGAGAACAAAAAAAAGTTGTCTCGTAGACGTTCCATGGCGTCCACTAACACAAAGTCCTCGGCGGGTAATTATCAATTCAGGATCCCTGGAAAGGTCTGCCAATAATTTTCCCCCCAATCCCTTCTACCTCCGACTTAACATTTGCCGCTGCTTTGAAGGTGGATTTTAATTGTCTAGCCTGGGAGAGTTGGCCCGAAGGTCAACCACCGATCGGTGCAAACAATGGCGCGCTGCTGTGACCACGAGCATACCACAGTCATCGGTCATTGACAGAGAACTTGCAGAATTCGGTGACGCAATGGATTCTCAGCTGACTCAAGAGCAGGGGTGGAATGACCATTCGAGCACTCGGGCACTCGCCCAAGGGCCTGAGGTCAGTAGGGGGCCCCATGAAATGCCCCTGGTACCTTTTTATAGGCTTTTTTGGGTGTGCTTTGAGTGTGGGCAAGGACACAGGGGCCCCATGATTCCCTATTGCCCAGTGGCCCCATGAGTTGTCAGTCTGCTCATGACACAAGACATGTCCTGTGTCTCTATACTTCTGATTGACTACCGCAGTGCACGGCAAATTGTTCTTAGATTTGTAAAATTTGCACAAAGACGGACATTTTATTTATAATCCGGACATTTAGTGCCCTTGATGCAGCCAATCCTACCAATCGGTGCAATCCAAAGTTTCAGCATCTGGCATTTCCAGGCGTGTCAGAAGCCTCTCTGCTGCAGTCCCTCCATCTGCAGCTCTGAAGAGACACACCATTGATGTAACAGCTGGAGGAGGGGAATCCACATCATACAGCTTCTGTAGGTACACTAAATTGCCAAAAGTATTGAGCCCGCCCTCCAAATCATGTGATTCAGGTGTTCCAATCCCCTCCATATCATATGATTCAGGTGTTCCAATCCCCTCCTTATCATGTGATTCAGGTGTTCCAATCCCCTCCATATCATGTGATTCAGGAGTTCCAATCCCCTCCCAATCATGTGATTCAGGTGTTCCAATCCCCTCCAAATCATGTGATTCAGGTGTTGCAATCCCCTCCATATCATATGATGCAGGTGTTCCAATCCCCTCCATATCATGTGATTCAGGTGTTCCAATCCCCTCCATATTATTATTATTATTATACAGTATTTATAAAGCGCCAATGGTTCGCTCAGCGCTGTACATTACAAAGGGGGACAGAACATGTGACAGAACAATACCAATACATTGCAAAACATGAGGGGATTGAGGGCCCTGCTCCTTGGAGCTTACAATCTAGGAGGGAGGGGATGGTGGTACAGGAGGAGATAGCTGTGGGGGATGGAGTGGTAGGAAGAGTGGAGGAGGTCGGCAAGTTAGCAGGGGGTGGGGTAGGCTTCCCTGAAGAGATGGGTTTTCAGGGTGCGCCTAAAGGAGAGGAGAGTAGGTGATAATCTGATGGGTTGGGGCAGGGAGTTCCAGAGGATGGGTGACACCCTGGAGAAGTCCTGGAGGCGGGCATGGGAGGAGGAGACCAGGGAACTAGAGAGAAGGAAGTCTTGTGAGGAGCAGAGTGTGCGTGTTGGGCGGTACTTGGATATTAGGTCAGTGATGTAGTTCGGGGCAGCTTTGTACGTCAGTGTTAGGATTTTGAATTTGATCCGTTGCGCAATCGGAAGCCAGTGGAGGGATTGGCAGAGGGGGGTGGAGGACACTGAGTGGAGGCCAGTGGAGGGATTGGCAGAGGGGGGTGGCGGAGACAGAGCGGTTGGAAAGGTGAATGAGTCTGGCTGCCGTATTCAGGATGGACTGAAGCGGGGATAGCCAGCGGCGAGGCAGGCCAGTGAGGAGGGAGTTGCAGTAGTTGAGTCGTGATATGATGAGGGAGTGGATGAGCTGTTTAGTGGTTTCTGGGGTAAGGAACGTGCGGATTTCGGCGATGTTGCGGAGGCGGAGTCTGCATGTTGCGGAGGTGGAGTCTGCACGAGTTTGTTAAAGATTGGACTTAGGGTTGAAAGGATAGGTTGGAGTCCAGAACGACACCAAGTACTCTGGCCTGCAGGGCGGGTTTGATGGTAGCGTTGTTGGATGTGATGGAGAAATCAATGGGGGGTGGTGTCCGGGCTGGGGGGGAAGACAAGAAACTCGGTTTTGGAGAGGTTCAGTTTAAGGAAGTGGGGCGACATCCAATCTGATATGTCACTCAGTAGGTGTGTAATTCGGGCAGAGACCGAGGGGGTGAGGTGGGGGGTTGAGAGATAGCTTTGTGTGTCGTCGGCATAGAGGTGGTAGTTGAAGCCATGAGAGTGTATGAGTTGGCCAAGGGAGGAGGTGTAGATGGAGAAAAGAAGGGGCCCGAGGACAGAGCCTTGAGGCACCCCAACAGAGAGGGGGAGTGAGGGGGAGGTGGTAGCATTATAGGTAACGCTGAAGGAGCGTTGTGACAGGTAGGATGAGAGCCAGGAGAGAGCAGAATCTCTGAGGCCGAGGGAGTGTAGTATTCTGAGGAGGAGGGGGTGGTCAACTGTGTCGAAGGCCACAGAGAGGTCGAGGAGTAGGAGCACTGAGTAGTGGCCATTAGCTTTGGCGGTTAGCAGGTCGTTGGAGAGTTTGAGTAAGGCAGTTTCGGTGGAGTGTAGGGGACGGAAGCCGGACTGTAGGGGATCGAGGAGGTGGTTGTCGTTGAGGTGAGAGCATAGGCGGGCGTAGACTAGGCGCTCGAGGAGTTTAGACGTAAATGGGAGCAGGGAGATGGGTCTGAGGTTGTTCGGGTCATTGGGGTCCAGGGGGGCTTTTTAAGTATGGGGGTGATGTGTGCATGTTTCAGAGGGAAGGGGAAAGTGCCTGAGGAGAGGGAGAGATTGAAGATGTGGGTGAGGGAGCGTAGGATGGAGGAGGAAGGAGGTCGTAGGAGTTGTGAGGGGATAGGGTCGAGGGGGCAGGTGGTGAGGCGGGCATCAGAGAGGATCTTGGAGACTTCCTCGATGGTAGTAAGGTCAAAGGTGCGTTGTGTGGGGGGAGCTTCAGTATGAGGAATGTAGGGTGGGGTGGAAGAGGAGGTCAGAGCAGTGGTGGGGCCGTGGGAGAGGGGTGATGAGGGGGTAGCTGAGTGAGGGTGAAGGGGGTTGGAGAGAGTTTGAGCAGCGACGAAGTCCCTGCAGATTATGTCGAGGGAGAGGGGGGGATGAGGGGGTAGCTGTGTGAGAGGGGACGGGTTGAGAGGGAGTGTGAGTTGCGGCAATGTCCTTGCGAATTGTGTCAATCTTGTTTTTGAAGTGATTGGCAATCTCAAGGGCGGTGAGTGAGGTGCTGGGTGGAGGTGGGGGTGGAGAGAGTAGAGAGTTGAAGGTGGAGAAGAGTCAGCGAGGATTGGAGGAGAGGGTCTTGATGAGGGTCAAGAAGTAGGCCTGTTTGGCAGCATGGAGGGAGGAGGTGTAGGCGTGGAAGGCAGATTTGTAGCGGGTGAAGGCTTGTTGGGATTTGGTTTTGCGCCATAGTCGCTCCCGGGCACGACTGTGTCGTTTGAGGGTTTTGGTGTGTTCAGTCTGCCAGGGCTGGAGCGGTCGGGGTCTGATGTTGCGTGTGGTTAAAGGCGCTAGTGAGTCAAGGGCTGTTGAGAGCGCGTTGTTGTAGGCGGTCATAGCCAAGTCGGGGCAGGACAGGGGGAGGATGCGGTCATGGAGTTGATCAGCTGCAGAGTGGAGGGGGGCAGGGTTAAGGTTGCGGAGGTTACGGCTGGTAGTAGTGTGACATTTGGAGGGGTAGGCGTTGGAGGACGAGGAGATAGAGAAGGTAATCAGGTTGTGGTCAGAGAGAGGGAAGGGGGTGTTAGTGAGGTTGTGGGGAGCGCAGCGGTTGGAGAAGACAAGATCGAGGATATTACTGTCGGAGTGGGTGGTGGATTGTATGCACTGTGCAAGTGCAAAGGAGGAGGTTAGGTGGAGGAGACGGGCTGTGTCCGGGTTGTCGAGGTTGACAGGGGTGGTGAAATCCCCAAGGATGATGGTGGGTAGCTCAGAGGAGAGGAAGAAGGGTAGCCAGGAGGAGAAGTCATCCAGGAAGCGGGGTATGGACCCAGGAGCCGGTATATCACAGCAATATTCAGGGGGGTTGGGGAGAATAGTCGGACGCAGTGGGCCTCGAAGGAGGAGAACCCCACCACCTTTACGACCGTTAGGCCTGGGTGAGTGGGTCCAGGTGAGACCTCCATAGGAGAGTGCAGCAGGGGAGGTAGAGTCAGTGGGCTGGATCCAGGTTTCTGTGATCGCTAGGAGGTTGAGGGAGCGGGAAACAAAGAGGTCGTGGATGGCGGTAAGCTTGTTGCACACCGATCGGGCGTTCAGGAGTGCACATAAAAACGGGGGGGAGATTTTAGGGAGCAGGGGGACAGATACTAAGTTGCGGGGGTTGCTGCAGGACGTGGAGGCGGGAGGGTGTTGTGCGGTTGAGGGAGGTGGTGGAGGGCCAGGATTCGGGGAGATGTCATCATGTGATTCAGGTGTTCCAATCCCCTCCATATCATGTGATTCAGGTTTTCCAATCCCCTCCCAATCATGTGATTAAGGTGTTCCAATCCCCTCCATATCATGTGATTCAGGTGTTCCAATCCCCTCCATATCACGTGATTCAGGCGTTCCAATCCCCTGCATATCATATGATTCAGGTGTTCCAATCCCCTCCATATCATGTGATTCAGGTGTTCCAATCCCCTCCCAATCATGTGATTCAGGTGTTCCAATCCCCTCCTAATCATGTGATTCAGGTGTTCCAATCCCCTCCATGGACACAGGTGTATACAATCAAGCCCCTAGGCATGCAGACTGCTTCTACAAACATTGGTGAAAGAATGGGTCGCTCTCAGGAGCTCAGTGACTCCAAGCGTGGTCCCGGGATAGGTGGCCACCTGGGCAATAAGTCCATCCGTGACATTTCCTGGCTACTAAATATTCCACGCTTAACTGTTAGTGGGATTATAACAAAGTGGAAGCAACTGGGAACAACAGCCACTCAGCCACCAAGTGGTAGGCCACGTCACATGACAGGGCGGGGTCAGCGCATGCTGAAGCGCACAGTGCGCAGAATCACCAACTGTCTGCAGAGTCAATAGCTAAAGACCTCCACACTTGGTGTGGCCTTCAGATGAGCCCAACAACAGTGCGTAGAGAGCTTCATGGAATGGGTTTCCATGGCCGAGCAGCTGCATCCAAACCTTCTATCACCAAGTGCAATGCAAAGCGTCGGATGCCGTGGTGTAAAGCACGCCACCACTGGACTATAGAGCAATGGATACGTGTTCTCTGGAGTGACCAATCACGCGTCTCTGTCTGGCAATTCGATGGATGTGTCTGGGTTTGGCGGTTGCCAGGAGAACGGTACTTGCCTGACTGCATTGTGCCAAGTGTAAAGTTTGGTGTAGGGGGGATTATGGTGTGGGGTTGTTTTTCAGGGGTTGGGCTTGGCCCCCTAGTTCCAGTAAAGGGAACTCTTAGGGCCAGGGGTGGACTGACCATTCGAGCACTCAGGCACTGCCCGAGAGCCCAGGGTCAGTAGGGGGCCCCATGAAATGCCCCTGGTACCTTTTATAGGCTTTTTTGTGTGCTTTGAGTGTGGGCGAGGACACAGGGGCCCCATGATCCCCTATTGCCCGGGGGCCCCATGAGTTGTCAGTCCGCCCCTGCTTAGGGCGTCAGCACACCAAGACATTTTGGACAATTTTATGCTCCCAACTTTGTGGGAAGAGTTTGGGGATGGCCCCTTCCTGTTCCAACATGACTGCGCACCAGTGCACAAAGCAAGGTCCATAAAGACATGGAGAAGCCAGTTTGGCGTGGAGGAACATCAGTTCAGTTGGTGGAAGGAATACTTTTGATCCTGCCAGAAATCCTGTGCACTATGCATTTTTATCGCAGCCTACAGGACACCTCTCCTCCATGTAAGGAGATGAGGATATGGGGAGGTGTTCTGTAGTCCAAGCACACTTCCTGTCCTTGGGTGACAGTGCCGCTCCTGCATAGATACAGTACAATGAATGAGCGTTGTCACCTTAGGACAGGAAATGTTAGTGGCAGGACCGCCAGGTGATAATAAAGGAAAACAAAAGCCTAAAGAAAAGAAAACGAATGCAGCCACCACATCTAAGGATCGGTAAGCCGCAATATATGACTTTTTTCTTCGGTTTAGATACAAAAACAGTTTTGGCTGGAGTTCCACTTTAAAGTACACCTCTCCAGCAGTCAGTTCTTTTCATACTTTGGCGCCCGTTCCTCGCACGTTCGCCCAGTAGGGCCATCTCCGCACAGCAGCAGTAGCAGGATTTGTACACGGCACTGTGGACGGTGACACGGGTTGTATATGTTTCACGCTCCGTCGCTGCAGCTAATAGGAGCACAAACCCAGCCAAGGGCCGTCTCTTGATGCGGCTTGCTGCTGCCGCTCTGTGGCTTAACGAGGTGTTGGAGGAACGTGCAGCTCGCTGCAAATGAGAACCACCTGGGAGGGTTGGAAGACGTCTGTATATGAAACGAGGTCAGGGATCACACCGGGCAAGTCTGGGCAGAAACTCCATTCCCATCGACGGCGGAGCGCGGCGTCCATCGCTAACATTTTTCCTTTCCAAGTCACAGGAGACTCTCATCAGGCATAATGTGATAACACACCGGCACCATTTGTACGCACAGACTAGGAGCCAATTCACCTACCAGAACGTCTTTCATGTTTGGGAGGACATCCCTACAAACCAAGATCTGAACCAAGAACCCCAGTGCTGCATGGCAAGGCCGGGACTTGGAGGGAGGGTTGGCAGGTGCCCTGGGTGCAGTGCCAAACCAAGATCTGAACCAAAGACCCCAGTGCTGCATGGCAAGGCCGGGACTTGGAGTGGGGTGGAGGTAGGTGCTCTGGGTGCAGTGTCAAACCAAGACCTGAACCAAAGACCCCAGTGCTGCATGGCAAGGCCAAGACTTTTTTCGGGGGGGGGGAGGGGCAGGTGCACTAGGTGCAGTGTCAAACCAAGATCTGAACCAAGGACCCCAGTGCTGTACAGTATGGCCAGGACTTGGAGGGGGGGGGGTAGGAGGAGCAGGTGTCCTGGGTGCAGTGTCAAACCAGGATCTGAACCAAAGACCAATGTGCTGTGTGGCAAGGCCAGGACTTGGAGGGGGGAGGAAGGAGGGGCAGGTGCCCTGGGTGCAGTGTCAAACCAAGATCTGAACCAAGGACTCCAGTGCTGCACAGCAAGGCCGGGACTTGGAGGGGGAGGGAGGCAGGAGGGGCAGGTGCCCTGGGTGCAGTGTCAAACCAAGATCTGAACCAAGGACTCCAGTGCTGCACAGCAAGGCCGGGACTTGGAGGGGGAGGGAGGCAGGAGGGGCAGGTGCCCTGGGTGCAGTGTCAAACCAAGATCTGAACCTAGGACCCCAGTGCTGCATGGCAAGGCCGGGACTTGGAGGCGGGGGAGGGGGGTAGGTGCTCTGGGTGCAGTGTCAAACCAAGATCTGAACCAAAGACCCCAGTGCTGCATGGCAAGGCCAAGATTTGGGGGGGGGGAGGAGCAGGTGCACTGGGTGCAGTGTCAAACCAAGATCTGAACCAAGGACCCCAGTGCTGCACAGCAAGGCCAAGACTTGGAGAGGGGGAGGTGGGAGGGGCAGGTGTCCTGGGTGGAGTGTCAAACCAAGATCTGAACCAAGGACCCCAGTGCTGCATGGCAAGGCCAAGATTTGGGGGGGGGGGGAGCAGGTGCACTGGGTGCAGTGTCAAACCAAGATCTGAACCAAGGACCCCAGTGCTGCACAGCAAGGCCAAGACTTGGAGAGGGGGAGGTGGGAGGGGCAGGTGTCCTGGGTGGAGTGTCAAACCAAGATCTGAACCAAGGACCCCTGTGCTGCATGGCAAGGCCAGGATTTGGGGGGGGGGGGAGGGCAGGTGTCCTGGGTGGAGTGTCAAACCAAGATCTGAACCAAGGACTCCAGTGCTGTACAGCATGGCCGGGACTTGGAGGGGGAGGGGAGGCAGGAGGAGCAGGTGCCCTGGGTGCAGTGTCAAACCAAGATCTGAACCAAGTACCCCAGTGCTGCATGACAAGGCCAGGACTTGGAGGGCGAGGGGGGGGGGCAGGAGGGACAGGTGCCCTGGGTGTCAAACCAAGATCTGAACCAAGGAGTCCAGCCTTCGTTCGTGTTTTATCGAAGATTCTTTGGACATAAACATCCGGGTCATCTTCTGTTTGCGCTCATGTGTGATAGCGCTTGATAAGATTTTATTCGTACAACCGTCATAGCGCCACATAGAAAATGGGCCGTTTGTATGCGAAACGACAACATTTTTCACTGTTGTTCAACCAGATTTTTTTGCTCACAATATCGTTATCGGTTAAAGCATCCTGCTCATCAACGAAGAGAAAATCGTTCGATCAGAGGTTCCGCGAAATTATCCGTACGATTTTCTTATCGTGTGTATGGGGCATAAGCCTGTTTTTTTTTTTAAGCGTGTGGGACTGGCAGCCTCTGTACTACATTGGGAGACCTGGGTGTATTCTCAGTGGCCCCTCCGGGGGTAGCGCTACAGTTCCCACCATGGACATTATCCACATGGTGTTTTTAGCTTCTCCTTGTGTTTATTGTGTCGGTTTCAACCTACAATCCAACATTCTATTGTGTTAATTGTCTTCCACTCATTCGGACCCTACCATGTCTGTAGACAAAGGGGTCCAAACCCTAGTGGGAGTAAACAATGCCCTATCATTGGTGTCATTGGGAGTAATAGTTCTCCATTGTTGGTGTCAGTGGGAGGAATAGTGCCCCATCGTTGGTGTCATTGGGTGGAATAGTGCCCTATCGTTGGTGTCATTGGGAGGAATAATGCCCCATCGTTGGTGTCAGTGGGAGGAATAGTGCCCCATCATTGGTATCAGTGGGTGGAATAGTGCCCCATCGTTGGTGTCATTGGGTGGAATAGTGCCCCATCGTTGGTGTCATTGGGTGGAATAGTGCTCCATCCTTGGTATCAGTGGGAGGAATAGTGCCCCATCATTGGTATCAGTGGGTGGAATAGTGCCCCATCGTTGGTGTCATTGGGTGGAATAGTGCCCCATCGTTGGTGTCATTGGGTGGAATAGTGCTCCATCATTGGTATCAGTGGGAGGAATAGTGCCCCATCATTGGTATCAGTGGGTGGAATAGTGCCCAATCGTTGGTGTCATTGGGTGGAATAGTGCCCCATCGTTGGTGTCATTGGGTGGAATAGTGCCCAATCATTGGTATCAGTGGGTGGAATAGTGCCCAATCGTTGGTGTCATTGGGTGGAATAGTGCCCCATCGTTGGTGTCATTGGGTGGAATAGTGCCCCATCGTTGGTGTCATTGGGTGGAATAGTGCCTCATCGTTGGTGTCATTGGGAGGAATAGTGTTTTTATGTCAATAAAAGGAATAGTGTTGGTGTCAATGGAAGGAATTTTGCCTCATTGTTGGTGTCAGTGGATGGAATAGGGCCTCAAGGGCCAGATAAAGGCTGACAAAGGGCCACAGTTTGGAGATCTCTGCTGTAGACATTGTAACCTAAGCTTCCAAGGTGGCGGATGCCAATGTCACGAATTAAAGTTGCCTATTGGCTCTGGGGAGCAAATGGTAGCACTTTATAAAAAAGTAATATAAAAAAATAATGCCATGGCGTATTGTGTGTGTAAGTATCTCCAGAAATGTTCGAACATTGTCACCTACAGAAGTCAAGATGAGTATTTTCCGGTTTTCACCCGGGCTGAGAAGTGTTGGAGTTCTCCTCTCTTCCTCTAATACCAGAAGGAGGAC